ATGGGGCGTGGTGAACGTAAAAATGGACGTAGAGAGATGATTTTGCTACCAATAGAATCGTCAGAAAGTAAGCTTTAACATGAGTATATGCACCGGATAATGCCATGATTGGCCGCTTTACGTCAGGCGTTCCTTTTTAGTTTGTCCAGCCCTCTAATTAGTTCCCATAGACATTTCTTAAAGGGCCTAAAAACTGCCCTTCTTTGGGAAGCTGTCACGAAATCATTTTTCGACGTAGAGGGATGATTCTGGTACCGTTGGATGCGTCAAAAAGTAAGCTTTAAGATGAGCCCAAAAAGCGGGAAACGCCAAAATTGAAAATTTAGGGGTAGACGGTCCCCTTAATACATGCCATATCGGGCCAAGTGTAGTAAAATAACAAAAAGTGAACATAAATTACGAATTTATGAACGCGTCTGAAAAATGAGTCAAATTTGTTTGCCACCATGCTGACACGTTGTGCGGTGTTTTGAGAGTCACATAAAGCAAACGAAACTTGAGTAACGCATACGGTTATTTTTTTATAGTTTTTCATTTCTCGATGCGTCCTTAATGTGACGGAATATACCGCGTTTACCCTATGAAACTTTTAACGTGTATTCATCAGAACCTAATGCTAACAGTGATGTTTACTTGCATGTGAAAAATTTGTTTAATTTCACCTTTGTTCGTAAGTTATATTGTGATAGGCTACAGGCCGAAATTTGCAGCTAGTGATCAATGAATTTCTTCCAAACTAGCTACTGAACAGATTTGAACAAAATTTTGAATATATCATTCATATAACTACCTACCTTAGGCTACCTACCAAACAGTGATTTTTTAAGATTTTAAACATTTTTTGATTTACCTTCATTTGCAATTTTTTTTCATTTCACTGTCATTCTTGATTTCACGCTTCCTTATATTTCACCCGTATCGCCAGGTAATTTGTCGCTTAAATTCGCGGTGATCAAAAGAATTCTTCTAAACTAGGGTAAACGCGGTATATTCCGATTTCCGACACATTAAGGACACATAGAGAAATGAAAAACTATAAAAAAAATAACTGTATGTGTTACTCGAGTTCTGTTTGCTTTACGTGACTGTCAAAACACCGCACTATGCGCCAGCAATGATGAAACTTCACAAAGTGTTGCCATGTTTATTTAAAAGCCTTTAGAATGCAAACCTACCAAATCCCTATATTCCAACACTGTGTGTGACTAAATTTGGCACGTTGTGAGACAAATTCCGGCCGCGCTTCAATCTCTACTAATACGTAATTCCGACATCCTTGTGTTCGAATTCTGTTTGCTGTGTGAGCTGTATTGGAATACAATACGGCTTTGTAAAATACATCACGTAATACAGCTCAGCTTTGTAAAATACACCACGTGAAATACAACACGTAAAACCAGGCAAAGTTAAAAAATCAAATCTGCTATCTGGGTTAAAAAACCATTGCTGGGAGTCATGCTGTTAGAACTTCTGACTTCAACTTCAGACTGCCACCCCCCTATTGCCCTTTTCTCCCTTACTGCCCCCCAAAATCTTCCCATTGCCCCTAGGGGGGCGATATCGCCCACTTTGGGAACTACTGGATTAAAGCCTTAAGGGGACCGACCTGGCTAAAATTTTCAATTTTGGCGTTTTCAACTTTTTGGGCTCATCTTAAAGCTTACTTTTTGACGCATCCAACGGTGCCAGAATCATCCCTCTACGTCGAAAAATGATTTCGTGACAGCTTCCCAAAGAAGGGCAGTTTTTAGGCCCTTTAACAAATGTCTATGGGATTTAATTACAGGGCTGGACAAACTAAAAGAAACGCCTGACGTAAAGCGGCCAATCATGGCATTATCCGGTGCATATAC